TGTCATTTTGAGAATGGAATCACAAACTTTTTTTTTATGCCATATAATTAAAAAAATATATATTTATTTTATTTATACACACAGAACTGGGGCACAGGCCAGAGGCAGAGGAGGGTGAGAGGACTCACCAGAGACAGAGTGGGGAGCAGAACAGGCCGACTGAGGAAGTACTGCTGATGGGAGCAGCAGGTGTGTCAGGAGAGGTCTGCCCTGCCATGTGGGTCACCTCCAGGGTGGGGGTCGAACTCATGCTGAAGTGGCTTTAGCTTCTTAGTGCTGTGCTTTAACCCGATGCACCACCAGGGAGGGCCCCATTCCATATAATTTTAAGTGCTTCAATTTGGGGAATACATGTTAATGATTATGATTTTATATTTGCCATGGGATAAAATATCAAACTACTGTCCCAGATTTCACCTATGGCTGATCTTCTGACCTAGTTGACATCTTTGTATTATTTTACCATTCAAAAAAAGTGTATTTTACTTATTGAGGAAAAGTCGGTTTACATCATTATATTGGTTTTTAGGGGCTACAAGTTTAAACCTCAATAATTTTATGTTTGCATACCACGCCCACTACCATTACTTTAGATCTTAAGAATGGTTAAATGTTAACTACCACAGATTGCTGGAATGCCTTAAGGCAAGTGTTCAAAGGTTACATTTTGTCCTAACATCATGCTGGGGGGTGTGGGGAAGAGTTTCTTATCAGATGGTGCTACAGGGTTATTTCTTAAATTTAGAAGAAAAACATTAGGTGTAGAAGGTAAAATGTTCAAAAAGTTATAAACTAGATTTTTATAATTGTCTTACTTTTCAAAGCATGGAGCAAGGAGCAATAAAGAGTGTGTTACTCAGCCCACTATCAAGGAGCCAGAAAACAACATAGAACTTTCATGTAGAACCAGGTCATATGTGGAATATCAGATCATTCCAGAAGTCCAGAAACTTGTAACATTACAAAAGGACAGTTTTCTGTATCTTATGGACTATGGAAATCACTAGAATTCATTCTAAAAGTGGTTCTAGAAGACTAAATTCATACTACTCTATTGTTTTTGAATCAGAAGTACAAACCTATGGGAGCTCACTGCATATATTTTTTAAAAAATTATGACCAAGAAGCTAAGGAAAAGGAAAGGCTCTACCTTGTTTTTAGTTTTGAGCTATCATTGTTGTGAAACTCGACCTTATATTGCATTATAATGTTTTAGCTATATGTTACTAAAACCAACAAGTGTATATATTACATTAAATTTACCACTAAAAGTGAAGTGCTGTTGTTCACCATATGTCAATAATTGTCTCCTTTTACCCAGTTTACCCACCCCTTACCCCCTTACCTCCCCTTTCTACTGGTGACAAGTAGTTGGTCTTAAAGTCTAAGCTTATTTTTTTTTTTTTTAAAGATTTATTTATTTGTACATACAGAACTGGGGTACAGGCCAGAGGCTCAGGGGTGGCGAGAGGCTTCACCAGAGACAGAGTGGGGAGCAGAACAGGTAGATCAACGAAGTACACTGCTGAGGGGAGCAGCGGGCGGGCCAGGAGAGGTCTGCCACGCCATGTGGTCTCCTCCCGGGGAGGCTGGAATTGAACTCATGCGGAAGTGGCTTTTTAGCTTCTCAGTGCAGTGCTTTAACCCGCTGCGCCACCAGGGAGGGCCAGCTTATTTTTTTTTTAAGGTTTATTTATTTATGCATACAGAACTAGGGTACAGGGGCAGTGAGAGGATTCACCAGAGACAGAGTGGGGAGCAGAACAGGCAGACTGACTGAAATACACTGCTGAGGGGAGCAGCGGGAGGGTCAGGAGAGGTCTGCCATGCCATATGGGTCACCTCCCTGGCTGGGGATGAAACTCAAGTTGAAGCGTCTGTGGCTAGCTTCCTAGTGCTGTGCTTTAACCTGTAGCACCACCAGGGCGGGCCCTCTAAGTTTATTTTTTAAAGATTGATTTATTTATGCATACAAGAGCTGGGGTATGGGTCAGAGATGCAGGGGGTGAGAGGATTTACCAGAGACAGAGTGGGGAGCAGAACAGGCATAGCTGCTGAAATACACTGCTGAGGGAGCAGTAGGAGAGACAGGAGAGATCTGTCATGATAGTGCTAAGCAGATCACCTCCCTAGGTGGGTGCTGCAGCAGCTGAGGATAATTTTATAGTGCTGAGTCTTAACCCCTTGTGCCACCAGGGAGGCCCTTAAATCTAAGTTTATTTTTGCTATATTGAGCCAGTTCATTTCCTTTCTCTCTAAATATTAGACAAGACTGGGCGCATTCAGGGTGGTATGGCTGAGACCTCTCTTTATATTAGTGAAATTACAGTGTGTTTGCCTTTCCCCATCTGAGTTATTTTACTATTAATACCCTGTAGGTCCATTCATGTTGTTGCAAATGGTAGGCATTATCAAATTGTTAGATACCTTAAGGCACAGGATTATGAGAAACATCTATCAGGAATCTGTATAGATATATTTAATAGTGGCTGTACCAAAAAGCATAGCTTTTGGAGATTGTTTTGACAATAATTATCAAATTTGAAAATGCTCATATACTCTGTTCTGCAATTGTACCTCTAGTAATCTATTTTTTTTTTTTAAGATTTATTTGTACATACAGAACTGGGGTACAGGAGCGGTGAGAGGCTTCACCAGAGACAGAGTGGGGAGCAGAACAGGCAGATCTACAAAGTACACTCCAGAGGGGAGCAGCGGGGCAGCGGGTGGGTCAGGAGAGGTCTGCCACACCATGTGGTCACCTCCGGGGCAGGCGGGAATCGAACTCATGAGGAAGTGGCTTTGGCTTCTTAGTGCAGTGCTTTAACCCGCTGCGCCACCAGGGAGGGCCGTAATCTATTTTTTAAATGTAATCATGAGTGCAAAGATGTTCATACACATGTCCTTAAACTATTAGTATTTTGAATATGTAAAAACAATGTAAACTTCCACTGTTTTGTAAATGGTTAAATAAAGTTACATGATCATTAAATATATGTAACATTAAATAGAATTAACTAGATAATGAAAAACAATTATCCAGTTTTTGTTTTAAAGATTTATTTATTTTATGCATACAAGAACTAGGGTACAGACCAGAGGTGTGAGGGATGAGAGAGGATTTACTAGAGACTGACTGGAGAGCAGAACAGGGGGATTGAGGAAATATACTGCTGAGGGGAGCAGCGGTAGGTCAGGAGAGGTCTGCCACACCACGTGGGTCACTACATCACCAGCAAAGGCCTTTATCCAGGTTTTTAATTGTAAAAGTAAATAAAAATGGTGACACTTTAGAAGGCTGTAAGCAAAACTGTTACACTGGATATCCTGGGAGGGAACAGTGCAAATAAGAAGTGATTCTTTGCTATGTTGTATTGTTTGAAAGTTCCAAAATAAACATATTTTTATGTCATTAATTTAGCTAAAAAAATTAAGAAAATTTCATCAACAGAATACATCTCCCAAGACTGCATCAGCTATTTACTTTACTGACATTTTAAATGTCCATCTAGTCAGACAGGGTGGCAGTGTTTGCAGCAGCAACTTAGTATTTGAGTTTAATATACACACACAAAATATATCTGACCATTTAGAAAGAGGGCTTGAGGTTAGCTACAGTAATTTAAGAAGGGTCTCACCAATTAAGCAATATAAAATATTTCAATAATAAACTGATCCAAGAATCCGTTCAACCATGATGACTGGAACCTGAATTTTCTTGGGTAGTCTTGCTGTGCCTGGCAAAGCAGATTTAACAACTTGACTGAATGATGTATGAGTCAATAGTTTCCATCTTTTTAGTACCACCTACTTACTTAAAAACAGGAAATTAGCAAAGATAAGATGATTGGATTTTTGTTACTTCCTTTTCAAAGGATACAGTGGGAGGGAGCAGACCCTCTCTTTCTACACAGGTTAAGAATTTGGTCCAGGACGTGAAATGGTTCACATTTTGATCTATTACAGTCAGAAAGAACTATAAAGTATACTCAATATAAAGAGAAAAAATAAAGCAAGCCGCCACTAGTTTGCATATACAAGAGTGTAAATATTTGCTGTCATATATGTAACCATTTGCATATACGTTGCATATACACTCAGACTAGGGAAAGGCATCTACTGGCAAGAAGTTGGCGTTAATGGCAAACGTTTCCTGGTCGTCAAATTGTGGACAAACGTTTGCACTTTAATGTCTCAATTTTCACTCAAGAAACGCGAAACTGTCCCTCACTGGTGTGTTGTCTGTTTACAATGAGGAATGTGGAAACTTTTTGTAAAATGATGGCATACAGTGGCCATTCCATCCAGTGTAATTAACGTTTGATATAAATTCAATCCCGGGCTGTCCGGTCGAAGAGCAGCACCCAGAGTCCAAAGCTGTAAAAGAACTCAAATGTTCTCAAGTTCGGGGCCGTCTTTCCATTCATCTTCATCCCAACTGCACCTAACGGGACCGTGCGGGTCTCGGACGTCGATCCCCAGCTCCGGCGGGCGAAGGGCGGGTCCCGCGCGACTGGGGCTCACGCTCCCGGGTCAGGAGCCCTGACCAGAGCCCGCGCGCCGGGTCTCGGACGTCGAGCTGGGAAAGCCTCGCCCACCCGGGGCGACGCCACCGCCTTCCGCGGGCCCTCGAGGTTCACTCCTACTTACTCTCCGCAGCCGGTCCCCACCGCCTTTCCCGCCGGCAGAGGGAGGCGTCCAGCCCCGGCACCCCGGGCGCAGGAGCCGGAAGGCCGGCAGACCCGCTGGAGAGCGGGTGGGGCGGAGAAGCAGGAAGCACAAGGCGCGCGCTCCCGCGAGCGCAGCTGGGCGGCGGGGCGGGGTCTCCGGGCGGCGGCAGGAAGAGGGCGCCCGGGAGCCGAGCCGGAGGGCGGCTGAGGGCGGGGCCGCGGGAGGGCGTGGACTCGGAGGGGCTGAGGCGAGGCGGGGACGCGCTTGCGGGGTGGGGAAGGCGGGGGCGCGGCGGTGGCGGGAGCGTCCCTGGTCTCCGCCCCTGTTTCCCACTCTCCTTCCACCTCCGACTGGGGCTCCGGAGAGGCGCCGCTCCCCGGAGCCGCCCTGCTGCCGCCGCTTCCTCTCTCCGCTCGCCGTGAGCCCGTCAGTCCCCGCTCGGTGCGCTGCTCCGTCTGGGCCATGGATGGGTAAGTGCGGGGCGGCCGCGCGGGGCGGCGCTGGCCCCTCTTCCCGTGGCTTCTCGGCCGGACGCGTCGAGGCCGGGGAGCCGGGCGCGGCGCGGGCGGCCGGAGGAGCGGTCCCGACCGAGTCCGACGGCGGGGCTTCCGGGCACCTCCTCGGGGAGCCCTAAACTGCGGAGGGGCGGACCCCATCGCAGCCTCGCCCCCCTCCTCCATGGGCGCCCGGGTCCTGTGCACCCCTTCACTCCCGCTCGCTCGCCTACCGGGGAGCGGAGGAGAGCCCGGGCAGCCGCGGGTGCCGGGGTCCGCCCTCAGCCCGAGAGTCGGGGGAGCCCGGCCTCCCGACACTTCCTTTCAGAAAATGGTGCGCGGCGCTGGGGGAGGCGGAGGCGACGCTCGGGGCGGGCGTCCTCCCGCTTGGGGAGTTGCTGTTTACCGGTGAGGTGGGGCGAGCGCCGGAGCTTCCCCTGGCGGGGAGACCAGTGGCCGAGGGGAGGCGGCCCGCGACGGCTCGCGTCGGGACTCGTCTGGGCGACGATCTGCCCCCGGAGCCTGCGCCCCACGCGCGCTCTCGGCCGGCGGGGACCGGCCCCGGGCTCGTGCTGTGGGCGGCGGTGTCGCGCTCCGGATACCAGACGTCCGGACCGGCGACTGGGACCTTCTCTCTCGTACGCCCCCAAAAGAAACTTAGGGAATTCGCTACCTTGTACGGGAACTACGGTAGAAGTGCAGTTTTCGCGGAGCTTTCAAACACTGTAGGTGTTAATGAAGTCAGAGACCAAAATGAAAAGACTTAGCATCAGTCTTCTCTGGGAACCCAGGTATACGGGGGTGGGACTTCTTCGTGATCAGAGGAACCACTCGATTAGAATCTGGGTGATTGAATTGAAGATCGTAGTATATGTACATTAGGGGTTTCGAAGATCTCCAGCTATACTATTAGAGCCTGCAAATCCACTTATCAGTGCCCATTATGCGTTTGAGGTTTTGTTTGGCCTTTTACTGGCTTTTGATGACAGGATTTCTATAAGCCCTTTAATTGTAGAATGAGTGAAACTTACTTGAACTGTAAAAGCTGTGTACATGTTGCCACTTAGTTGATGATTGTTGTGCCATGTAGAGACGATGGAGTCTTCCAGCAAGTTTTGTCTTTATTAGATAACATTTATCCTAGTTTCACAGTACTAGCGCTGATTGAGATACTGGATTAACTCATTTGAGTGCAGATTACACACTGCAGCAGACACTAGACAAAGTGCAATTTTAGGTTTTATTTATGGTTGTGATGGTCTGTGAAGTATCGCTTTTACTTAATTGGAGCTATTTTTATTTTTTAATTGAAGCTTCTCTGAGCATTGTTGAAAACTCATTTCGCATTACTTTATTCAATTTCGCACTTCATGTGTGCAAAATATTGCTATTTTAATTACTTGTGTAATTATGCCAGTATTTCAGTTCAGGAATACTGAAATGAGTGTTTCATTCTGAGCAGTAAATTGTCCTTCCACGGGTTGCTTGAGATGTGGAAACAGTGTAGCTTTTTATATTGGAAAATGTATAGTGATAATAAAAAGAAATTTGGTTATGGGTCTTGGCTGTTAAACTCTTGAATAATTATGAAATGCAAGCTTACTCTTTGAGATAGTGTCTAAGAAATTAGTTCTTAGCCCAATATATGATTTTTGAGCCAAAGAATTTCTTTATGGTTTACATATGTTGGGAGAAAAGACAGGTCATTGGCAGGTAAGTTCACCTGGGAGTTGAAGTAGGAGCATGATTTGACCAGTACCACAGTATAAACACAACCTTGTTTTTTATGCACAAAACATTACCTATTTAAATTTCAGACAAAAGAATTTCATGTTTCAAAAGTCTGTAAGGAAAAATGAGCCTATACAGTTAATACTTTAAACAATTAAAATTGCATCCTTGAACAGTACAGTCATAAATTTACTTTCATTAATGATGGCATAGGTTATTAACGATACGCAGTTTTGCCTTTCATTTAGGAGTACTGAGATGAAGACAGTATTTGAAGACAGTAATTGAAGACAGTTTCCTTGGGGTTCCGGGAGAGAGATTTTTGTTTTTGTTCAGCAGATCTTTGGGCTTTTACATTTTGGTCTTAAGGAATAAGATTTTGAACGAAGAAATTTTGCTTTTAGGAGGCTATTTAAATCTCTACATTTCCCATAGCCAGAAAAAGTTATTTTTTCATTATTTTGGCTAGTTAACAAACCAACAAGCTACCAGTCAACCTATCTGTCTTAATTCCCCTCAAATTCCAACTGTCTTGTATGCATGTAGATGTTCATTTCCTCCTGAGATAATTTACACTGAACCAGTTTTGATGTGGTAGACTTTTTTAATAAAGTAAATCTTTGAAAATTATCATATCCACAGTCTGATGCTTGTTTTTATTTTTAGTGCTGAGGTGCTATCTTAGCTATGTTTTATGGCAGATAAAAATTTGTAGATACCTTCTATTTCTAGAAAATCTGCGCATTGGTTTTATTTCATTTAAAACTTCACACTAATGATTTAAAGGAATAAACTATGGTGATTTTAAGTTTTGTCTTAATAAATGGGAAGAAAATGGATAAACATTTTATTGAAGTCCACCTATACTTTTCTAAATACTCAAAGAGAATTTAATTTGTTTCTTACATTGCCATGAAAGCTTTGCTTTTACACTTTGCTGTTGCCTGACTGTCCCATCACTTTTTTCTTTGTATTAACGTTTCGCAACTCATCACATTCTTATTTTTATTATTTGTTAATATAATGCCTTTCCTTTTTCTTTAATCTTATCTGTCTTTTAAAAAACTTGTTCTCTAACTTTGTTTTCCATTTTCTCTTTTTACTTTTTCCATACAGTGTTGTTACAGATCTTATAGCAGTCGGTTTAAAGGTAGGAATCTTTTACTATCCTTTCATAAGCATTTTTAAATCCTAGTTTTCACATTTTTTTTTCCCACTAGTGATACCATCTCACCTTTTCATAAAATTATTTCTTTTACTGTATGGTAATCTATCTTTAATTTTTATTTAACTCCAAATAAGTAGACCTATAGCTGTTTTTGTATTTTAAATCTTTATATAGTGGGACTACAGTATCATCTTGTGTATCTAAAATGAATAGAAAGTTTAGCCTAAAGTTTCACTTGAACTCTCAGGTTTTTGTTTGTTCTGTTTTAGCTCTTAAGTAAACCCAGATCTGATTTATTTTCCTATGGTGCCCTTTTCCTATATCTTCTCCTGGATATGCTTTTGAGTAGTAAAATAATAATAGCAACAGAAGTTTCTTTGTTTATACTGTATACTAGCTGTTTTATTACATGTGTTTTCACTTATTGTAATAGCCTTTCAAGGTAGGTGTTAATAATCCCATTTTAGAGATTAAAAAAGTAACGTTCAGAAAGTTTGTGTTTGTAGCACGGTGCACCAGAGTTCAAACCTTTGTTGTCTTGCAGATTCAAAAGCCTGGCTTCCCCCATCTCCCCACCTGCTAGTACCGAGCTGACAGTGTAATGAGTGTTCTGTTTAAAAGTGAACAGCCAGAGAGCTGGATAATTCCTATTTTACAGTAATTATTCTTCTGAATTCTCGGTCATTTCAGTTTTTATCAAAGTCTCATTGCATCCTAAAAGAAAAATCAAAAGTAAACAGCTCCTTAAAATGAGACTTTAAAGATATAAATGGGTGTTTTAATATTTTTTTAATCAATTTGGTGTCTGATATAGTTGAGTTGAGAGCCTAGTTCTAGAAGCAAATTAGAATTCTTATTATTGTAGAGAACAGAAATAATTCATGTTTATATTACATGTATTTTATGTAAACTTGTTTTACCACTTCGCATGTTGTATCACTAACAGTTTTAGGAGTTAGGAATTGTATTTTTGGAGTTGATGGTGGTGCTCATAAGCTTAAAATACATTAAAAATAGGCATCTTTAAAAGTAAATATCCTTTGAGACTAACAATAAGTTATATAGGATTAACATAATTGGGAACTTTTTAAGTAGGGTGAAATCAGCTACTGTGTGGAAGGTATATATCTGGATGATAAATGAAAGAAAAAATTAAATGTTAGGCTCAGGAACTGTATTGAATGCATGCATTTTTTGGGGGGGGTTATTTGGTGGGTTAGAAATGAAGCTTATTGGACGTAATAGTACACACTCAGGTGTAAGTGTGGGCAGATTCAGAGGAAAATTGTCTATGATTCAGTTTTTTTCACAGCAAGCAAGCGCTTTGAAAACAAAGATCCTGAAGAAAAAAATAATCTCATTTCTCTGAGGAAAAAATAAGCTGATTAGTTCATTTGCCGGGCAGTCTGTATTTTTATAGGCTTAATTACTGGAAATGTCTGTAAAATTATTTACTCCATAGAGAAGTTTCTCATAGGATTGTTCTACTTCTTTCTTGGGCCCTCTCCAAGAAAGTTTAGCTACCAGGTAGTAGCCAATATGACTCATTTCTCTAGATTGTATGAAACAAAATTAGTAAGTTTAAGTACTTCTACAATACCAGTTACTTATTTCCTCTACTTGTTGACTGAATATGATGGCATAAAGAACAGCTCTAATCAGTGGCAAAGAATGGATTTCAGGTTCTGCTCTCCTGAGTTACTATCCTGGATTCAGAAAAACCTTATGGGTTTCATTTTAAAGATTTAAAAATATGTTAAATATGAAGTTCATGTTTTAGGCAGAGAAAGCAATTGTTTTTAGGGATTAAGTGATTTCATTAAAGAATGTGTCCTGAGGACTGAGACTTTTTTAAGGACAGTCTTATATCTTCAAATCAGTCTGCTCTATCTTGTTTGAGATATGTATCCCATGTTGTACACTCTGGATGTTCTATGCAGGCTATCTAGTTTTGAACTTTACCTAAATCAAGAAAATTAATGAAACTAGCTTTTAATACATCTCATAAAATATATGTTCTATTTCCTTATTTTTTTTTTTGTATTTTGAGATTTTTTTTTTTTAAAAATTTCTTTATTTGTGCATACAGAACTGGGGTGCAGGCCAGAGGCTCAGGGGCGGTGAGAGGCTTCACCAGAGACAGAGTGGGGAACAGAACAGGCAGATGGATGAAGTACACTGCTGAGGGGAGCAGCGGGCGGGTCAGGAGAGGTCTGCCGCGCCATGTGGTCACCTCCGGGGCAGGCGGGAATCGAACTCATGCAGAAGCGGCTTTAGATTCTCAGTGCTGTGCTTTAACCCGCTGCGCCACCAGGGAGGGCCTATTTTGAGATGTTTTTTGATTAAATCTTGAATTAACTATCCTTAGTTTTGAATTCTTACAGGTGAAGAACTAAGTGATTATGAGTAATACAGGATTATGTTTCCAAGAACTTTATCACACCAAATAAGATAAATCAAGGTGTGGGTATTGTAGGTAACAACTATGTGCTTGTATACCTATATGACTTTAATTTTCTAGCTTATAACTTTAATTATTACTGGCAAGTTTATTGTATTTATTTATGTATAAATATTTATGTTTGCATACCTACAGAACTGGGGGTACAGACTAGAGGTGCAGGGGCAGTGAGAGGATTTAAAAGAGACACAGTGGGGAGCAGAATAGCAGATTGAGGAAGTACACTGCTGAGGGGAGCAATGGGCAAGACAGAAGTCTTGTGCCATGTGGGTCACCTCCCTGGCCAGGGACCAAACTTGTGCTGCTGTGGCTACAGAGAGTTTCATAGTGCTGCACTTTAACCCATTGCGCCACCAGGGAGGGCCTGTAATTGGTTTCTAATAATTGTCATGCTTGTCACTTATAGGAAAATACATTACAGTGTATTTAAATTAATTTTGAAGATCAACTTTCAACTTTTTGACCCAGGGTTAGCAAGCTACAGTCTATGGAACAAATCCAGTTTGCTGTCTGGTTTTTGTAAATAGTTTTATTGGAACACAGCCATGGTCCTTCATTTCCATATTTTCTGGATACAGTGAAAGAGTTGAGTGGTTGTAGCAAAGATCATGTGACCAGAGTATAAAATACTGTCTTTCTGGTACTTTGCAGAAAGTTTGCCTACTGCTGTGCTTGAATTTTGGGTGAAATAGAAAGCCTTGTGGCATTTTACCCCTTTCAACCTGAACCGTAATTTGCATACAGGATATGTACAGGTCTTAGGGGTAAGATGCAAATGGTTTTGACAAATGTATGTTGCTTCAGGCAACACACCTCAGTGATAAAGGAGCCCTCCCTGGTGATACAAAAGGTGAAAGCCTTGCACTGTTTCCCCAGCCCCAGAGGTGAGCCACAAGGTGCAGCAGACCTCTCCTGACCCACCCAGTGCTCCCCTCAGCTGTATACAGCCTCTGTCTGCCTTTATGTTCCCCACTCTGTGTCAGTTGAAACCTCTCACTGCCCCTGCCCCTCTGGCCTGTACCCCAGTTCTGTATGCATAAATAAATAAATCTTCACAAAAGCAAAGAGGGAATCGGAGTCCTTGAGCAGGCTTGTAGGTTGCAGGATCCTGGTTGATACAGGATGCTGCACAAGAGCAATATCTTGACCTTTTTATTGGCAGAGAAGGGTGGGTCAGAATTGACACTGGATTTTAGGCTTTTGGGAGGGTCAGTATGCACCCAACTCCCACCAGTGGCTCTAATCTTACTAACCTTATTAACAAGGTGTTCCCAATGATCCAGTCCCTGGGGCACATGCACATCTGTAGTGCCCCAGGGCAATCAAGCATCTAGTTCTTGTCTAACTGGAAAGGAGCCTTGTACACCACACCCACAAATGTATGCACCTGTTATGCACCTGTATTTCTTACTTACCAGTCAGGACAACAGAGCATGAGTCTAGAAAGTTCCCTGCTACTTTTTTCCAGACTCAAGTTAGGCAACTGTTGTGATTTGTTTCTTCACAGGTTAATTGTACTTGTTTCTGAACTTAATATATATACACATACAGTATAAGCTCTTTGCTGCCTGGCTTTTACTAAGCAAGAGGATTTTTTTTTTTTTAAAGATTTATTTATTTTTGCATACAGAACTGGGGTACAGGACAGAGGCTCAGGGGCGGTGAGAGGCTTCACCATAGACAGAGCGGGGAACAGAACAGGCAGATCGACGAAGTACACTGCTGAGGGGGAGCAGCAGGCGGGTCAGGAGAGGTCTGCCACGCCATGTGGTCACCTCCGGGGCAGGCGGGAATCGAACTCATGCGGAAGCAGCTTTAGATTCTCAGTGCTGTGCTTTAATCCGCTGCGCCACCAGGGAGGGCCCGCAAGAGGATTTTTTTTTATTATGTTTTTTTAATTTTTTTACATCATTCTTTATTTTGTACATTTTTTCATCTCAGTTGTAATCCTCATGGGCTTTCCACCACCAGTTTACCCAGTTCAGAGCAATCTTCTCACCTCAGTTCAGATCCCATTCCCCCTTCCACCCCAGTAAAATGTTTATAGTTGTACGTTATTTTAATTTTTACTCTATTTACATTTGTTTGTCTCTTTTATTTTTTCTCTCTGACCCCTTATGCTCCTGCTATGAGTGAAACCATCCGGTATTTTTCTTTTTAAAGATTAACTTATGTATACAGAAGAACTGGGGTACAGGCGGGTGAGAGAATTCACCAGTGACATTGGGGAGCAGAACAAGCAGAAAAACAAAGCACACTGCTGAGGGAAGCAGCAGGGGAGTCAGGAGAGGTCTGCTGTACCACGTGGGTCACCTCAGAGGCTGGGAGTCCAACTCACACTGAAGCAGCTGTGGCCAGCTTGCAGTGCTGCGTCCTAACCCTTTGTGCCACCAGGGAGGGCCACAAGAGGTTTTTTTTTTTTAAAAGATTTATTTATTCATGCTTACAGAACTGGGGTACAGGCCAGAGGTGCAGGCGTGGTTAGAGGATTCACCAGAGACAGAGTGGGGAGCAGAACAGG